GGGGCTGTCACGGCGGAGCTGGATCCACCCAGAACCTTCTCCACATGCACCATCTGCATAATTGGCTCTTGAGTGAGCGTCGGTGAAACCCCAGGCACAGACAAGCACGTAAAGCAGCCGCCGTCATTCATCCTCTCCTGAGTTCGCTCCAGTTGATTTCATCAGCATTTCCCAAGCTGTTAGCACCAGATCTGCTTCCCCGGTTAGGTTTTCCTTCAGCATTTGCTTTGTGTCCGTGTGCACAACGTCAGTAAATAGGGCTGAAGCCTTCACGTGGGTTTTGTGAAGGCAAAGAACTGTGGTGGTCTGTAACCCTGGGTGCTGTATTTAAATGCTCCATGATTTGGGATTTACTTCTCTCTGTTTCATTGTACAGTTTCAGATGTTTCAGACCTTTCAGTCCTTGGGAAAGAGGGATATTTTCTCACCTACCCCCTTTCCAAGTCCTATTCCCAGTAGGAGTTATTGTATTGTTAGCAGAAGAGTGGCTTTTTGCGCTCACTGTTTAATATCAAGGGGGAGGGGTAACCAGCCAATAATATATTTTATTTCAGGGTTATTTCTGATTATTTGGGTTTGGGGTTTTTTTAATCCCTTGATTTTAAAAAAAGGTGATGCCTTCAATATCCTTCCATTCTCTTTGATTTAAATTACACTGTTTGGAGCTGAAGACAAATGTATTTGGAAGCAGTCCCGCCTTTGGCACCCATGGGCTTTCCTGCAGGTGATTCTGGTTTTAAAGTGCCTCACGAAGGAGGAGCAGAATCATCATTCCCATTTTACACGTGGGGAAACTGAGGCACGGAGCTCACGTGCGTTGTGTAGTGTGATGCAGCAGGTCAGTGGCAGATGTAGGACCACTCTGCTTGTCCGAGGGGTGGTTTGATCTCTCTGGGAAGAGCAAAGCTCCATCTACACCGAGCTGAGCTCCCCACGGCTGCCACAGCTCAGTCTTGCTTCTCCATGTGCTTGAATATCAATGAGATTGATTCACTCTTCCATTTGCTTCTTTTTAGGTGTTTAATGCAAGAGAAGTACTCTTTAGTTGCTTTCCCCTCTTATTACTACTGTTTATTTGCAGTGTTAAGGCTTTTGTGTCCTTCAGCTCTGTGAAATTCCAAGCCCAGCTGGATGAGAAGCTGCCCGCCAGCGGCTGAGCCTGTGGCGCAACGTTTGTTTGGTTTATTTAGGTCTTCTTGGTGCTACATAGTGTGTGAAAGATATTCCTGCTCCATTCGGAGTGATGTCATTTGCTGGGCACTGAGGTAACGTCTCCTGGACTGCAGCATTCCCAGAGGGTGTCAGTATTGCCACATGGGATGGCTGGGAACACACACGTGGCAAACACACACCTTTGGGTGCAGCAGAGCTTTCGGTTTGAGTGCCCATGAGCTTCCATTGCTGAGTGTGGGGAGAAGAATCTGGTCCCTGCACTTCCCTGTTTCACCTGAGGGAAACATCTCTGGAGTCTCTAAGGCTTCACCGTGGGGGGTTTGAGATCGTTTATTCCAGAGCTCGGCTTTGACTGAGGTAAAATGTCTGAGAGGTTTTTTTCTGCTGAGCCAGGAGGACTGCTCAGAAAACACTGACTTCCTAAAGCCCGCAGAGGCTGAGCCTCCCTGGTGCTCCCAGTCCCTCCAGGTCCAACAGTGGAGCCAGGCAGGACCTGGCACGTGCAGATCTCCCCCTCAGGAAGGAGGGATGATCCCCTCAGCCATCCCCACTGCCCTGTCCTCAGCAGGTGAAGCAGGGAGGGTGAGAGCAAAGATTTCCTGCTTCTTCAAAGCCTCCTGCTGCAGCAGAGAGCTCCTTGCCTGAGCTGTTTGCTTTGTGCCAACCTCGTGTACCAGTTGTACCTTGAGCTCCCCAGCTCAAGGCTAGAGACTGACTCTGTTCAGTTTGCTTTCCAGCAGGCCTTGGAGCTGCAGGAACACAAAGAGTGCAGTCACTTGCAGGAAGCATTAATGGCTTCAAAGTTCTGTGGATTAATGAACTGCTGAGGTTGAGAGCAGATCTGAGCCCCACAGCCCAGCCAGCTAAGCTGCATCTCTCCTCTTCCTGGTTCCTAGACCTTGTTTTGATTTTTCCTTACAAAGCAGTAAAACATGGAGCCTCCTTCTAGTAGTTCTTCCGCTCTTATTGTAATTCCCAAAGCTTTTGTCCAATTAGCTTCCTATTTTTTCTTGGCACAGCCTTACTACAGGGGAGGGGTTAAGAAGGGAAGCTGTTTGGAGGGTTGGTTGTAACTACTGCTGCCTCAGGAACATGCTGTGATTCCTCCTGTGCAGGAAACGCAGGGAGTGGCTGTGGGACTGAACCACTGAAGGAATTGATTCTCTGGGTGTCTTTCTATGGATCAATAATCCCAGTTCTCTGTGCCACTTACCCAAAAATCTTGGTGTGTTTCACTGAGGCAGGCAAGTTCAGTGTGTCTTTTGTAGTTCAGATGCTATCAGAGGAGCTCGTTTGGTTTGTCATATCTGCACTGAATATCCACAAAGAGTGCTGCAGGAGGAGGAGACCTTTCTGGAAGCTTATCGTTAAACCATTTATTAACTTTACTCTTTTATACAGGTAGAAAAGGAGGCCACAAAGGCCGAGCAAGACAGTACACCAGCCCTGAAGAGATCGATGCCCAGCTCCAAGCAGAAAAGCAGAAGGCAAGGGTATGTGTTTGCCAACGGTGTGTGCTCATGGTCCTAAGTCCTGGCTTCACTTGCAGTGCATGAGGAATAAGCTTAGTCAAGAGGTGCAGATCATTCTGTCAGTGATCACAGTGTGAATTCTCAATAGCTCTGGCTGAGGAGGCTGGAAGGTGTCATCCAGGCTGGTTCCTCACTGAAGTGAGGCCAGGTAGACCATCCAGCTCACAGCTGGAAGGGTACTGGATACGGAGGATGATTGCACAGCAACTCTGGACATCTTTTCCCCCTGTATTTTATCATTCTGGTCTCCAGTGTCAGCTCATTTTTGTATCCACACTCTACAGCTTGGCTGTGGAGAAAAAGGACTCACATCTTGACATCTTATCATTGAAATTATTTTATTTGCCCTCTTCTAGATATAAAAGACCAAACTCCTTTGGCTTCTTTCTGTACACATGATTTTCTTGTTTGCCTCTGACTTGCAGGGAGAGATAACAGAGTTTTCTGGCCTGAGTCCTTTTTTAGGGCATGTTTCTATGCCCCAACAGAGGATTGTAACAGCCCCACCACCTTCCACAACTACCTGACTGATGTTATAAAAGGCATGGCTACATCTTGCAGCACTTGCTCTCTTATATCCCCAAATTATCTCACTGGTGATTTTCTGTGACTTGCTGAAAGTGCTGCCTAAGCCCAAATACACTATTCCAGCTGAAGCCTCCTAGCACTGACTACAGCAGGATAATTACACCCCATATAGGAAATACTGATGAATACCTCTGAGAAGATGACTTTCAAGCAGTCATGAGCCAGATTGTTGACTCCTTTTAATGTTCTGAGCAGCTGTAACTCAAGATGATGCTGTGGTTTGCTGCTTAGCCACATCTTCCAACTTTTGGGTTGGATTTCTCCTTCCAAAGTACAATTCCTCTTGGTTTGTTTTCTGATTCCACCTTCTGGGTTTCACGCCATCTTTCCAAATTCTGAAGCCATTTATGGGGCTGATCCTGTTTTCCAGAATGATTCCAACTCTACCAGTGCAATGTCATTCACAGGCTCTGTGAGTGTTCTCTACTTCCGAGTTGTTGTTAAAAATACCCACTGGAAATGGAACAGAACAAGCAGGACTCTGCTTGGAATGTCTGTCTGGTTTCACAACACACCAGAGAACTGCTCTTTGGGAAGCATTTCTCTCTTTTTTTGTTACATGTAACACTATTTTGTTTGCTTAAAAAAACCCCAAGCAATTAGAGAATTCCTCCTCTACTGCCCACAGCTCATCCGCTTGCTGGGATGAGGGATATGTGGCAGTGGTTAAAGCAAACAGTTCACACCCATGGTGGTTCTTCTAATCTTCTCATGATACACAGATTAATTCCTAGACTCTGACTGGTACAAGCTGTGCTAAAAAGGCTGGGATTTCTTGGGTAATAATATCCTGGTTGATGGTTGTCAAGTTGCTCTTCTCTAGTGTTGTTCTTTTATATACATCTAGTCTGGGACCCAGCTCTACATCCATGTAGTTTCCATCCCTGAGATACTGTGCACTGGAAACCTGAGCCAAAACATCTCCTGGAGACCTTTCATTTGGGAAAAGTAAAGTGCCAGTTCTGTCTTTGACAATCATTTTCCTGGCCTGCAGCACAGGGAGAGCAGCAGAGTTGTTCAGAGGTGATCTGCTGGGGCAGGTGATGGATACTTACATACTGAGGGTGTCACAAGGCCACGTCAGGAACACCAGCGCTCTCAGGGCTGTCTCTCATCCTTCCAGAATGATCTCATTTAAAAGTCTCTGTTGGATTTGGGATTTTTCTTGACACACATTTCCTCTCATTCCCTGTGATTTTGTAGGAAGAGGAAGAGCAAGAAGAGGGAAGCGAAGGAGCAACAGGGGACCCCAAAAAGGAGAAGAAGTCTTTAGATTCAGATGAGAGTGATGAAGATGATGAGGATTATCAGGTACTGTCATTCTCAGTGCACTTAATGCATTTGCACTTCCCAGATCCTTGGGGCTAAAGAGCAATGCAGGCTCCAGACTTCAGGTTCTCTCTGAGAGTCACCTATAATGAATTTTGTTATGGAATAGCTATTTCTAGAAGCCAAAAACCCCTTAATTGACAGCATTTTGTCCTCAGAATGTGTTTTTATAAGTGAAATGCCAAGGCAGGGAGCTCTCAAAAAAGGCTGAAGATCCCTGGTGGTAGAAATCTTGGTTCATCAGTGGTTTTGCTGTCTGGTAGTATTGAATCCTGCTTTTGGGGTGTGTTGCGTTCTGTTTGCTGAGCTCTGCTACAGCACAGTGTTGGGTATGAGAGAGCTTCTTAACCTTCCTCTTGTTCTTGAACCTTAGCAAAAGCGCAAAGGAGTGGAAGGGTTGATAGACATAGAGAATCCCAATCGTGTAATTCAGACAACCAAAAAAGTAACTCAGCTGGACCTGGATGGACCTAAGGAACTCTCACGACGAGAGCGGTGAGTCTTCCCTGCTGCTCTGACAGGAGCTAGAGCATCCCTGGAATATTGTCCTTCCAGGTGTTTCCCTGCCGTGTTCCACGTGTTTCAGGGAAGCCCTTTCAATATGTTGGTGTTCTAAAGCAGACACTGAACTGCCAAGCAGGACTCACTGGGGTTCCAAATGTCTTTCCTTACAAACTTTATGGAAGTCGGTTGTCTCTGGAGTAGCTGTAACCCTCCGGGAGCCAGGCAACTTGGCCAGGGAAGTTTGTTGCTGTGAAGCAGCTTTAGGCAATTCCTTTCCTGGAGTTTTATGCCAAAAATCAGACATAACTGAACTCCATTATCCAGAGGTCACCGTGGGCTCCACTTTAATCTTGCTCCAGAAAGTGCCCAAGTGACAGGTAGCAGCCACCGGGCATCATGGTGACATTTTTGTGTGAGCAGATGAATAAGATGAGAACCAGTTTAATCTTCTAGCTCCATTTAGCAGTGGAGAGTTGCAGAGTGAAAGATTTCAGCTTCCTTCTTTGGGTAGATTGCTTTGGCAGAAGTACCCCTTTGAGGCTAAAGCTGGGAAAAGCATCTCATGGTGCTGAGCAGTCTGGGGCTAATTCATCTGACCTCATTGTGTGTCAGGGTCCTTATTTAGCTGAACAAAGGTAGAAGTAATCTCTCACCTCATCCCTGTGCAAACCTGTGCTAGAAAACTGGTGTCAGGGCTCCCCAGTCCCTGTCCAAAAGGCTCCCCCACTCTGCCTGTACCTGCCTGCTCATGGATGCTCTGGTGACTGATGTGTTTCACCCAAACAGGGAGGAAATAGAGAAACAAAAGGCAAAAGAAAGATACATGAAAATGCACCTAGCTGGTAAAACAGAACAAGCAAAGGCAGATCTTGCCCGACTAGCCATCATTCGGAAGCAGAGGGAAGAAGCTGCCAGAAAGAAAGAAGAAGAAAGAAAAGGTTAGAGAGTGATTAATCATAACCCTCTTATTTCTCTTTGTGATGGTTGCACTGCCAAGAGGCACAATCTCCCGTGTCACACATAGTAATCCCTCATCTCCTGAGACAGTTGTGTCTTCACAACTGCCCTCATCAAAACCAGGTTCAGATGTTTCACTCTTACAAAGCTCTTGCTTTATAAAGCTCTAGGACATCTGAACAAGGA